TCCTCAATGATTCTACATCAACTTTAATTTATAGTACTGGGGTTTTGGCACTCCAAGCTTCAGAACCTGCACTTATCTACATTGAACTGCATCTTGCCACTTTTCTGACCAAGAATAGAGTTTGTTTAAATCCTCCTGAAATCCCTAACACTCCTACGTTTGAATCAATATCCTACCTATCTTTGTTCGCAATTTGCTCATATTAAGTAATTCCCTCATCAAACATGATAATATTTAAACAAAAGTCCCAAATCCGTGGACCCATTGTTAACGATCCCCACTGATTTAACCCCATTATCCTTCGCTCTCGTAGCGACCATGATCGATCCACGAGACACCTTTCCCCCAATGGCTGCATTGCCACATTCCTTACGCTATGGCGAACTCATAAAAGCCTTACTAAAATCCCTAAGTAAATAATATTCAAATTCTTATTGTGGTCAACATCAAAAGCTTTGAAAATGTTAATAAATTATTAGACAAGCCGCCTCTTGTGAAATCCATCTGAGTTTATTATCAAGCTTCTATCGAGATGGCTTCTTATACTCTGCTATAATTGACTCTATAATTTGCCTACAATTTGGGCAGCTATTGGGTAATTTGACGTAACACTTCCCCTGTTTTAAAATGGGTTTAAATAACCAATTCCACAATTCCCGTACAAATTTGAAAAGAAAATTAAAAAAATTAGTTAAGGTTCAGAGTCCATTTTTCATTCCTTAAAACCTTTAAAAAACCTCATCAGACCGGGGACTTATGAAGCTTTCGTACAGATCTCCATCCACTGACTGTGATTACATTAATTAATCTTTTCGCCACGTGAATTAATTATGGAATGTTTTTCTCCTTGTAAAAACTGAGAGAAAATAATTATTTAAAATCAAGCACATTTCATTCTCATTGTCAGTAAGGTCCCATAGTTTATTTTTAAGGGGACCTATCTTATCGTCTAACTTTTGTTCTATAGACCTTGGAAAAATTTTTGGTTGTTTTAAAAATCCTAGCAACTTTAATTTCATGAGTCCCTTTTAGCTTTTCTTATCCCCTTTTTAGTCCCTTAAGTCAATTATGATTCATAAGTCCTCACCTCTTTTGATACGCCTATAAAATTCCTTTCATGCCCTAGTAGATATTGAGCCTATATTCATCCATTTTAGGGCATTTCTATTTGATCTAATTTTTTGATATGAGTAAACCTCTTTGAAACAGTATAGTTTTTTCAGAAACGACATATGTACCTCTTCTTACCCAGTCACAGATGAGTATTTTTAGCCCACGTCTAATGCTTAACGAAAATCCGGGACGTTTACTATCGCTACTATCGACTTTTATGAAAATTAATAATTATTGTGGTCGCTAGCACCCAGTTTTCCTCTGAAATTTCAAATTATTAACAGGACATTGTTCATTAATAGTCAAAGCAGGTTATTTCCCTTGTTTCTGTCACAAACTGCTTCAAAAAAAACCAGAATACTTTCTAAACTGTACGATCAATCCCAGAGAAATTCCAATCAACATGCAAATTAAGCTCCTAGAATTACATCCATTAAATCGTGCCTTGTGGTGATACAACCTCCTAAGGGTTTTCCTTGGGCCCACCTAAGTTGGGGAAACGGATATCACTCTAAAATCATTTTCAATGCCTCCTCTGAAAATTCTATCCCAAACAGACCTGTATTTACTTCAATACTTTATACCTTTTTTTGCAAAAAATTAAACGAATTTAATCATCAATCCACCCCCCACCCTTTTCTTCTTTTCTTCTGGAACAATTTAAAACCCTGAATAGACATTCCCAGGCATGTCCCGACTTTTAATAACCACGTCTCAGTTAAGCAAATACATCAATGTTACCTACACTAGCAACTAATCTCAACAGTACCATCTATCAGCATACAGCAATTAGCATAAAAAAATAAAAGACCCCTTTCTTTACCCTCTGCTCATTTCTATTATTTTCTTACTATACGCAACCCAAGGTCCTGGCTTTTCAATCTATTGTTCATTCAGTTCCCAGAA